GCGGCGTGGGGGACGTAACCCTTATTCACGCATCGATCCGAGCATGCAAGCCTCGACTTACAAAATTTTAGCAAAAGAAAGAGAGGGAGGGCGGGAGAGATGAAGTGCTAGAAGAAAGATGCAGTTACAATGGCGCCCGCCCAAAATTACAGTTGCACACACGATTAAGGGCGCCCACTAATCCGAGTACCGTTGCAGCCGCATGAAAAAGCGCGTAGACAAAAGGCGCCGCGCGGCTGAAAAAGTTCTAATTACTGAACTCCTAAATTCCTATCTAATGCGGAAAAGCAAAAAACATTCATTTCAAAAAGAATGTCCAAAATTTCGAGAGTCATCGGGGCTCGACAAAATTCGGAAAAGAATCAAAAGAAAATTCAAAAGAACGAAACAATTTCCCATGCAATGTCCGAGCCCAAAAGATCGAACCCGAAACGAAAAAAACAATGTCAACATTTATCAATCTCGCGCGCGGTGGCGCGCCAGTCATTCATCCGACCAATCCTCTGTCAGCCATCCCCGGACACACCCAGCCCCGAAGAAGCGACGAAAAAGACGAAGAGGCAAGGGTACAGATGCAATTTTCCACCGATCCCGATTTCCTGTAATTGGCCCAATCTTCCCAGCTTAGGACCCCTCGTTGCAACCGCGCAGAAACTCGCGCATTACAGAAAGTGGTCCGTCACATATGCGACGCCCAGGGGGTTCCAATATTAGCAAGCTCCTGCTTGCTTGTTCACATGTGTCGATTACTCTAATCGATCGACACGCGGAGCACTTCACTTTATGCCACTTACCGTTCGATTGCGTGTGGACGTTATCCATCGTGGCAACACTGATCTTCTACTAGTTCCTCAGATTGGGCTCTCAATGATTCAAGGACGGGACCTTTCTCGTGTCGTCACCGCGACATGTGCCATCAACCATGCATCAGTGTAGACAGGGGGGAAGTGTAGACCCTAGACCTTTGACGTTTCCGGGAAATGGTAGTCGTCTCATGGAGGGTGGAGGTGGCGGATGGTTCAGAGGGAGTGGGGGCATGAAGCGATTAATGGTAGGAGAGTCGAAATTAGGAAGGGTAGCAAAGTGGAAGGAGCGATGGATGCGGGGGAAACGAGGGACCTCATGAAGATGACGAAAGACGGCAATATAGTCGGGGTAGATGGTGGAGAGGGTCTGTCGCAGGGCGGCGCGAAAATCTTCATAATTTTCGCAGGCGGGAATAGTTCCAGACACAATACAGTATATTTCTACGTGGTTATATTCTCGCCAGTCTGCGCTAAACAGGAGCACATGAAGGAGAAAGGTGTCAACCACATAGCGAGTAGTGACGTGTGGATAGACGGAGACTAGAAGGTGGGTAGCGTAGAGATGGTGAAAAAGGTGATGAGGGAAAGGACACCAACCATCGGGGAACGGGGGTCTATGGGGAAGGCGGGTGATCATGAGGTAGTCACGGGGTCAGCCAGAGAACGACCGGGGACGAAGCCCGAATGCCGAGACCTTGATATAGACGAAGGGAGGATCGGGACGGGGAGCCGGAGGGAGCTGGTGATTCATTTCTTCTTCTTCTTCTTCCGCGTGATCCCTCCGCTGTGGCTCCATCGTCTTCCTCCTTTGGCGGCTCTGGATCACGCCACGGGTTCCCGATCAATGGATCGACAGAGGATACGTCTATTGCGGGCCGCTTTCCCTCCGTGGTCTCCTGGCGCTTCCGTTTCCTCCGCTCTCGTGCTCGTTCCCGCGCCGCGTTGTGCACTTCAGCCTCGAATCCTTCGCACTCCGATCCTGATAGCCTGCTTCCTTCTTCTTCTTCTGATTCCACCCTGTCGTCTTTTACCTGCGGCTGATTTGATTCGTTGGCTATCCCCGTCTCTTTTTCCGGTACGTAGTCCGGATCGTCCCGTTCCTCACTTGATGGCTCTTCTTCTTCTTCTGCTCCCCTTATCTCTTCGTCCTGCGCGATGTTTTGTCTCGCAATCGGGTCCCAAAACGTGAGATCGGTAACGTCGATCTCAAAGCAGAGCGCCTGGGAGGGATAGAGACAATTGTCCTCGTCGATTTCCATGCACGTGGACCACACAAGGTGTGGCTCAAGCGTTCGAGACAGCACGTGGGTGCAAGGCGGATCGTCATTGTGCGACAAGATGTCCAGGGGCAGATCGTCCGCCAGCTGAGTCAAAAACACCAGCAACTCGTTCGTGATCAAAATAAGACTGCCCTCCTCCACCTTCCCGAACAGGAATCCCAGCAGGTCGCCCTGCTCCGCTGTTTTCCACGCTTGGATGATCAGAAACTCCACGCTGTCTTCTGGATGCTCCGGCCCTTCTCCGAATGGGGCCGCCTCTGACCAGCGGAACTTTATCTCCAGTAGGCAAAAAGTGAGTTCGATATAGTTCTCCCACCACGCATTCCACCTCTCCTCACACAATAGTGGCGCACTGTTCTCCTTAACACAGTAGGAAAGGGTGGGAACCCGCGCCGACTGCCAAAGGGTGGGGATGCTGGAGGGGAGGCCGAAATAGGAGACAAAGACTCATTGGGGCGGCTCGAAGGGACGAAGCTCCGGAAGCACGATTGCGGGCGCTCTTCGAGACGAGCGGAGATGGAGGTCCGTGTCATGCGCCGGTAAGATGTTATCTCCTCGTCGAGCCAGAAGATCTGTCCACGCCGTTCTCACTTCCCCAGCCCAAATGCGCAACGTCCGATAGATGTCGGAGTGATTCGCCGACGGAATCGCTGTGATATCCCCCGTAAAGACGACAATGACAGCGATATGGCTTATCCTGGGAGGAGATAGCCGTCGAAAGGCTAAGATCTCGGCCAGAACGCGCGTAGTTGCTTCTTCTGCGAATTGAAACTCTGCCGCCCCGTAGATCGCAGACGTACTGAAGAAAGCCGCAAACCGGAGGAGATCCGAGCAGAGATGGGGCCACTGCACCTGTCGTATGACACTGATTCGCCCCCGCGGAGAAAGAAGCCGCGCGCCGATCACTTGCTCCGTCGCAAAGCTCATGGCGATGGTGTCGGGGTAAGAGAGAGGGAACAGGAAGGAGACGGAGAAATAGGAGAGAGATAGTCGTCGCCTTCCCTCTCGGAGGAGGAGGGATCGGATGGAGGCGAAGATGGAGAAGGAGGAAGGGGACGGAGGTAGGACACGTGGCGGATGATTAGTCGAGCCGATCGGCTGCCGGAGACCTCGGGCGCAAGTCGCACGGTGTTCACACCGTTCGGTCCTAGTTCAATCACGCGAAATCGCCCGAAGAATCGTGGCGCTAGCTTACCCTGGCGAGCACATTTCCTCACCTGCACGATGTCCCCTAATTTGTATTGGGGCCGTGGACCTGCATTCCCATTCCGGGCCTCGTAACTTCGGAGCTGTCGGCCTTTGGCTAGTTCGGTCATTTTTTGTCATTTTCATGCTAGCCTGGGCAGTGACCGTTCCATTAGCTCTAGGTGCCGTTTGGCCTAGTCCCTAGCCGTGGCCCTGGTGGGCCGTCGGTTCAATGTAGACTCGTCGGGGAGGCTCGGTATTGAAACGCAAGCGACGCTATTGGTCGTTAATTGGAAGGGGCTTAGCCCTGTCGATTCATGGGGCGTTCCGCGATGGACCACCAGGATGTGATCGACGATATCGGGTCAGGGTCTAGGATCCCGTGCCGCGATGTTTCGTCGCAATGCTATCTTTATCACTCGGTTAGCGTTTTCGACCAGCCCATTAGACTGTGACATGTGGGGTGCGGTGTTCCGTATGGCGACGCCATGTATGACCAGGTTCCTTAACACTTCTCCCCTGAATTCAGCCCCATTGTCGTTTAGGATTTTCTCCGTATCCTGATGGATCTCGAGGAAACAGTTGACATATCGCGCGATTTCCGTGGCTTGCCGCGTGCGACAAGGATACACTTCGATCCATTTCGAGAAATGATCGACAAATACCAATAGGACTGAATACTCGCAACTATTAGGGTCAAGGGGCACCACTATGTCGGTAGTGTCCATGCTCACTCTTTGAAATGGTCGTTTAACAACCGTGGGCACTATCGATCTTGGCGGCTGAATCAGCGCTTTATCAGCGGCGCAGACTTCACAGTTGGCGACGATGTATTTCACATCGTCGCGGATATTGGACCAATACCACTCATTTTTGTCGATAGCGGACTCCGTGATCCGTACGGCAAAATGAGCCGCAGTTTCCTCGTGGGCTGTCTTAACCCAGCCATACCTCATGAACGGATGCGGCACTACTATCCAAATCCCACTGCCGTCCGTTTTCCGTTTTTCTAATCTACCCTCTAGCCATCGATAATCCCGAGCCCTTTCATTGTCCCTTCTCCGATCTTCTTTGGTGAAATCCTAGAGGGGGTTACCTACTAGGGTGGCAATTAAGGCAATATCCGTCCATACTTCGGCCCTTCTAAACTTTCGGGTCTTTTCCAATCCTTCGGACGTGGCATCCAATAATCGAGCCTCGGTAGGAATCTTGTCGCTCCGACACAAGGGGCACAACCATGGTCCATTATCGTTTCTGTACTGGATGCACGAGCCATGGGCTCGTGCAACACACTATCGGCAATCTATCCAATCCGCATACCCCTCCCAGTTAGGACGCATCAGGACTTGTCGGGAAGGGAGAGGAAAGAAGAAGAGGAAGGGGGAGAGAGAGCGGTAGTGGGGTTAACTCCATCACCCATCGTCGACGTTTTACTTCTTGCCACGTGGAAGAATTGCCACTTGTCCGTATTTCGGCTCGTTGGTTAAGTCTGGCTCCTTCCACGGTGTTATTTCCTCACCCTCTGGTACCTTGGCAGGCCGGTGCAGACGTGTCAGCTCGTCCGCGTTGTCGTGTCGCGCTGTCTTTCGATGGACGATGTCGAAGTCGTATTCTTGTAATCGCACCGCCCAACGACCAATCATGCCCGTGTAGTTAGTGAGTTTCTTCAGCGCCAGCATAGGCTCGTGATCCGTTACGAGGCGAAACTTCTGTCCGTAGAGATACGGATGGAAGTGTTGGATTCCCCAAACTACTGCATAGCACTCACCCTGAGGTGCGGAGTCGTTTCTTCGTTCGTCCAGTACGGTTCGTAACGCGTACTCGATGACGTGTTCGCGACCATCGTTCCCCTTTTGTGCTAAAATAGCGGAAATAGCTTCCGGCTGCCATTCCGTGATGAGAATGAACTGTTTCGAGGGGTCCGATCGAATCAAAATAGGGGCCATTGCCAGAGCGTCCTTGAGAGTTGCAAAAGCCTACTGACACTCCGCATCCCAGCTGAGGGGCTGGTCCTTCCGGAACAGATTCGTTAGTGGTCGTGCAATCGCGGCAAAGCCCTTGATGAAGCGCCGATAGTACAACGCCAGCCCCAAGAAGGCTCGAACCTGCATCAGAGACGTGGGAACCGGAGCTTCCTTTACCGCCGCAACTTTTCTCGAGTCTGGCCGCAATCCTCCACGTGTCACGACATAGCCTAGGAACGAAATTTTTGAGAGGAAGAATTCACTCTTCTCAAGCGCAATCTTGAACCCTGCATCTCTCAATGCACTCAATGTCCATTCGATGTGTTGTGCGTGCCCGTGATAGGTTTCCGAATATACCAGGATGTCGTCCATATACACGATTACAAAGAAGTTAATCATTCCCTGCGTCAGCCGTGTCTTGTTGACGAAGTTCTGGAACGTCATGTTCATCGCTCGCTGAAACGTGGCAGGCGCATTGCAGATCCCCATCGGACACCGAACCCATTGCCACGTGCCCTCAAACAACACAAAGGTCGTTTTTGGCCAATCTTCTTCCCTTACCAGAATATGATGGAAGCCATGCCGGATATCAAACTTGCTAAAATAATTAGCGCATCCAATCGCATCCAACAGGTCATCAACCCGGGGGAGGGGATACACATCCTTAATCGTGATTTCATTCAGCTTGCGATAATCAATGCAAATGCGAATCGCTCTATTTTTCTTCGGTACTAATACTACGGGAAAAGACCAAGGTCCAGTAGCGGGTTCAATCCAACCGCTGGCTTCGAATTCCCGAATTCGTTCGAGAGCCTTTTTGCGTTCAATCAAGGAATACCGATAAGGTTTGCAATGAATCGGGGAGTGATTTCCTGTCTGAATTTCATGTTGGCTTACTAGCGACAACCCAATGTTAGTGTCTGACACGCTAATCGCTCCTTGATACTCTGTTAGAATATCCGCAATAACCCAGTGGATTTCATCCGGCACACACTGTGGAACGTACAGTTTGAAAAAGGGGGCCCCAATCCGAACGTCAGTCTGTTTCGTATTTGCCTTTTTTGTCAAGTCAGGTGGAGGCGCCGAGATGAATGAATGATCCGATCACCAGGAGAACACCGTGGCCATCATCTGAGCATCTTCTTCTCGGATTGCCACGTGTCCTTCCATGGTGATTCCGTCGCAAACATCCTGCCATGACACTTCTTTCGTTGCAATCTTTATCCCCAGTCTGTCTGTTTCTGCTTCAAAACGCCCAGGGGGTTCCAGAGAGCTTGCTTCCTCCCCCAAGCGTAACAATCTCACTTCTTTAGCCGATGTTAGTAAGGACTTAGGAAGTTTCGTAATGTCGCAATAGTGCTTTTTGTCGCTATACCTCGCGAGGAGAGAGGTGATTCCTTCGTACAGAGTTTGAGGGGGTTCCAAAGAGTCGGCCTTCTTTGAAATCTGCACGAGGGGCTCACCCAAGATCATTGCCTTGGTCCTTTGAATTTTTCGACAGGTCAGTTGCATCTTTCTCGCTATCGTTTTGGGCGGAGGGTAGTAAACGCGTTGTCGTGCCAATTTCAAGATCTCCAAATCATCTTCGTCACTGCTTTCCGCATCATCAGTTGATGGCTTTCCTTCTGCGGGTTCGTCCCAGGAGATCATGCGGCGAGTCCCTGCCATCATCGGCGAAACTCGCGAAACCGCGTTAATGGTAGTGCGAAGGGTCAATCGCATGGGCACGACGTAGGGTTTTCCTCCTGTATTTCGGAGGGCGATCGATCGTCGTTTGAAATCCTGGTTTGCTCGTAGCGCCACAAGAGCGGGAAGTCCGAAAAGAACGTCGTACGTATTAACATCTAGTACTACGACATCCACAAGCGCGTGTACTTTTCCTAATCGGAAGGCGACATTGGTCATTCTCCCCACAGTTTTAATTTTTTCCTCATGTGCCGAAACGAGCTGATCTTTCTCGGTGAGCATGATCAGATCCTTTTTTCTGCCTGCCCTTTCGACCACTCTTAGCGAAATAGCCAACACAGCTGCTCCTGAGTCTATAATGGCATTGTAAGGAATCCCCCAAATTTCAATATCACATTCTGCGGATTTCCACGGGATCGGTTTAACGCTCAATGCTCGAGCGAGGGGCTTTTGGCTTTTACGTTCAATGCTCGGGCGAGGGCGAATCGCTTTCGATTCGCTTTGCAATGCTGTAGCATTCGCTCATTGGCTTGTTCAGAAATCGAGAGTAGATGACCGATCGGTAGTGGAATCCGATGGTCCAAGGCTCGAACGATATTTAATACATCGATCTCTCCTGTGACGAAGGTGGACCCTCCCGATTCCATTTCTCCTAAGGATGGTCGCCATTCCACCACCTTTTTTGTTTCTGGTGCTGGTCTGATGGTTCTGATCATTCCAAGGCCGGGATATCCCAGCGATACATACTGATCTAGCGGGATGAATTCGGCGGCCTTTTTCGAGGGAGCCAGGGCACTTCCCCCACCCTCTACTTCCTCCATCAGGGCTCCGACTCGTCCAGGTCCGTTGGCGATGGGGGCCTCAGCCATAGGTGCGACCCCGATCCGTTGTTGTGGGGGTCGGTGGGGGCAATCACGGGCTAGATGCCCGGGCTGATGACATGCGTAACAGACATTTAGATTGTTCGCAGCTCCCCCGAGAGCAGGAGCCGGGGCTAATCCTTGCTGCATTGGAGGGGCACACACTGCAATAGGTCGCATGTTCCTCATCATGGCTTCCAGCCGAGCATTGTGCTCTCGCTGTTCCTTTTTGCTTTCTTGGATCAGGCTAATCAAAGTTTTGGTTAGTTCGAAAATGGCCGCCGATTCGTTCGATCGTACAGGAGCCTCAACCGGTGGCGGGGGTAATGCCCTGACGAGCGGAGGCATCATAGGAGCAGAGATGCTCGGAGTCTCGCTTAGGATTACTCGTTTGGGTTCTATCTGTTCCATATAGGTGACAGGTCCTGATACAAATCCCATGTTTTTAAATTTGTTCTGCAACGCAGCCAGCTCTGCTCTTGCTCGTGCGAGCTCGGTCACATCTCCGTCTCTAGGGTAGTCTTCTCCTTCCAAGAAGTTCGCCGCGAACTTCCGTTCCATTTCTTCCGCAGCAGCCATAATTTGTTGTAGCGTATGGGTAATGGGGGAAAATTGCTTTCGCAGCTTAGCCCTTATTGTCCGGCTGCGGAGTCCGTCAATGAACAGGTCTCTCCCTACTTGCTCACCTCGCTCTGTTTTTACGAATATTCTGTAGAACCGGTTTCGGTATTCCGCAACGGATTCGAGCGGTTTCTGCACTCGGTCCTTAATCATGTACAATGCCTGCTCAGGGTGAACATAATCAAATCGGTTCATGCAATCCCGTTCGAAGGTCGGGAGATCCACCCATACATAGGTACTATACCAATGATGGGCGTCTCCTCCCATTCGAGCCGGAATATTGATTTGTGCTTCATGATCATCGTACTGCTGTGCTCTAAGCGTGGACAGCCATGCTCCTGCGAGATGGTGCGCCGGATCAAATAGATAGAGATCAGGTGGCGACATGGGAGCTCGTGCACGTGGGGCAGGTTGATTAGGTAGATTAGCATTTTGTTGCGGAACCGGATTTTGCACGTTGGCAGCCATATTGGCTACTCGTCGGTTAGCCGCTCTGCTTCTGGTGACGATAGGGTCGCGTCTAGGCACGTTCCGAGGGCGAGGTCGCCCATGGTTAGCCAGGTCGCCTAATTATCGTGTTTTCAATCCTAAGACCCTAGCCACTTGTCGGGCTTTGATACCAACCTCACGCCCAGCGCGACTTCCTGATCGGAGTGGGATGTGGGCCTGAAAGTGCGAAAAGGGGTGTGCCAAGGATTTTGGGAAAGTGGGGGAGTCTTAAGGGTATGATTGCAACTTAGGCGAATGAGGGGTGCGCACGCAAGGGTCTCATGGTCCGAAGGGGCCGGGACACTGTGGTCGACGGGTTACGGGGAAATCCCTCCGTGGTGAAGGCGGTCCCAAAAAGTTAGGCCGTCGGGGGCTGCCACGTGGCGCAGGTCGCTGTGTGCCTGGGTTGGGCCTGTGGAATTCCGGAGTTCTCTGTTCGCCGCTACGTCGGCAATTCACACAAAACGTGTCGGGCCAATAGGGGGCTATGGCCGGCCACGGGACGACACTGAGTT